TTTTTTTTTTTTATTTTTTTTCCTATTTAATGCCCATTCATGCTGTAAAGGTTAAACAGTAAATTGTTACAAGCTTGATTGTGAATGTAAGGTGGAATTCCAGAGGTCTCGCCAAAACATTTTGAGCTATTGTGGTTTAAAATCTTAGAAGCACTGATGCTTCACTATCTCTACTGCTCGAGAACAAATGTTTTACTTCAATTTATTTTTGGGCTGTACTATCAGTTCGCTATTAATGATGCTATTTAGTTAATAAGTCTCACGATGTTGATTTAGTCTAGAAGTTCTGTGATATAATAATTTCTCTCCATGCATATGATATCACTTCTTCTGCTTAGGTTTCAGGGAATCTGATTTCTTTCTTAGTTGAAGGCACCATAATGGGATATTGTGCGTCTATCAAAAATCCCAAATTATTGTTAAAGAAACTTATGCTCTTATTTATGTATCTTGAAGGATGTTGGAGAAAGAGATGGCAAATTTTACGCCATCAACGTCCCTCTTAAGGATGGAATTGATGATGGCAGCTTTTTGCGTCTCTTCAAAACGGTAAATTCCTAATCAACTATTATTTTGTCATTTCTTGTTGAAGAAAGATAAAGTTTGACATTATTTTCCTTTCGTGCTGCAGATTATTATGAAAGTTATGGAGTGCTATGTACCCGGAGCTATTGTTCTACAATGTGGAGCAGATTCACTTGCTGGGGATCGGTTGGGAAAATTTAACTTGTCCATTGAGGGTGATTTTCTAGTAATCAAACATTGTTTTCCCTTATTCTGTAAAACTAGACGTGTCCATGTTATAGTTATGGATTGTGATCACCACTTTAACAGTTATGACAGTAATCATAGAAGTATTTTTTATTTTTTTTAAATGCAGGGCATGCAGCTTGTGTCAGGTTTGTTAAGCAACTCAATTTGCCTTTGCTGGTAGGCCTCTGCATTAAGCTATATAGCTTACAGCATAGCAGTTTATTTTCCATGTAGGTCCTACTGTTATTTTAGTAGCAAAATTGTGTTATGCTCTGCAGGTAACTGGAGGTGGGGGATACACTAAAGAGAACGTTGCTAGGTGTTGGACTGTGGAGACAGGAGCTCTTCTTGATGTGGAGCTACCTAATGGTACCATTTACTGCACTTTTTGCTGTTGCAAGGCATGACTTTTGTTACATATATTTATGTAGTAATACTTACCTTTTATTATTCCTTGTTTTCCGCAGAGATCCCAGAAAATGATTACATCAAATATTTTGCTCCAGATTACACCTTGAAACGTCCAGGTGGACACATGGTACGTCAACTAGGCAAATTATTTGAAGCTCAAAGCCTAAAACCAACTCCAACAGCTTCTCTGTCAAACTCCATCAACTTAATTTATTAAAGTTGACTCCCTATATATTTTTACTTTCTATTTTATTTTTTTACTTCAGCACTCCTTATTTTTAACACTCTAATTTAGGGACTCTATTTTTTTGTATTCCAACCAATTCCCTAAATACATCTCTCTATTCTCTATTCTATTAATTATATAAATAAAGATAATTAGTAATATTTAAAGTAATAAAAAAATAATTAATATGTTAAATATCAATTTGACCATCCACTGCAGATAAATCTATGCGTGACTTCTTCAAAAAATGTGATGAGATGAGTGCAACCCTATTTTTCTTATCCCCCTTTTTATGTTAATATGCCATGTATACAGAGTTTGTTTTTCCTTATATTTACATACCATATTTCCATAGATGAGCACATCTCTTCTTTTTCTTCTTTTCTCAATTGATTTGTAGAGCTTTTTTGGGGGTTTAAAAAATATAGTTATATAGAGCCACTTTTGGCTCCCCAAAAGTAGAGATCATACCCTAGATATATGGAGCTCGTTAATATGGCGAGGGTGAAATAGGGTGTCGGCTGGAGTAAATATATTGATTTTGAATCTTGACAATTGAGAAGGAGAGGAGATGATGAGGCTGAGCCAGCTTAATTATTACTTGGAGTTGGCTGATGTGTATAGTGGAAACAACTATCACAGCGAATACTATATGCGTGCATGGTCATTGACTATGAACTTTGGTTTTGCACCTACTAAACTAAGATCTTATTTTATTTGTCATTTCTTGATATCAGCAAAACGGGCATAACTTTTTTTCTGGATAAAAGTAATACTGTAGTTTTTCTTTCACATCTAACTTTGTTGGCAGTAATTGGGAAAGGTTTTCATATAGTCCAAAATTGTTATTTGGGCAGGAGAATTTGAATAGCAAATCGTATCTGAACACAATCAGACAGCAAGTGTGTGAAAACCTTAGTGCAATACAACATGCCCCTGGTGTACAGATGCATGAGGTAAACAAAATACTCGGTCATCTTCCTTGTCTTAATGGAAATTACTTCTGCCTAGTTTGAGAGGATCAATTTTTCCAAAAGTGTGGCTGAGAATAATTGTTGAATTCGTCAAACAATTTATTTGATTCCTTATCCATGCAAGGCAAGATTTTGCTAAGAAATACCTTATTATATACTCATGCTTATTTCTTCATTATTATCCTGCTAGTCTTATCTTGTGGATACATTTCCTAATGCCTTGATTACTGTTCTGAACAAGGATGCTCCCTTGGTTTCAACATATCAAAGTGTATTCAGAAATATACATTTTGGTCCAACTTATTATGTCGTACGGATATATGACATGCCTTTTGATTTTACTTCTTCTCAGGTGCCCCCTGATTTTTATATACCTGATTTTGATGAAGACGAACAGAATCCAGATGAACGAGTAACTAGTAAGTGAAAAGTAAAACGTTGCACAACCACTTTCATCCTTTTGTCCTTTAGCGGTCAATTAAAAAGAAATGGATCGACCACAAAAGTAGTCCTAATGATTTACTGATTTCGCCTATCCTGAGATTCGTCACTCCCAACAAATATTCCCAGTGTTGAGGCGCAATGTGTATTAGAAACAATATGTGAAGGGGCGATTTGTCGTTTTAAATATATCTTAATATATCCATTTTACTCTTATTATTAATTTGATTACATTAGACAGCCTGCATGTATCTATCTAATATGTGGTGGTTCTCCTAAACCTGAAATGTTGTATGCAGGACACATGCAAGACAAACATATTCAGCGTGATGATGAATATTATGATGGTGATAACGACAATGACCACAATATGGATGATGCATGAAAAAGGTTAAAGGAGCTCTTATTCAAATTCAAACGTACGTAGTTTTCCTCAGCGCAAAAATGGGAATATACAGCAAATTTATGCCTTAGCTACCGCGTGTATGGGTTTTGCCTGTAATCATTGACAGAGAGGACGTATTGCTACACATCAGTTGATATCATTTTCCTGAGATCAACTCGCATTGATAATCACCAATTTTTACAGTCCGAGCAATTAATTCATGTCAAGTTTTCAAGATTTAATGTTGAAATTTGTTTCTCTAATTGTAATTATAATTAAATATCCAAAGGAATATGATTCTTATTTCGTTTT